TTCCGTTCGAGGTTTTCTGAAAATCAACAAAGTCGCTGGTGAGAGTTGTTGGGACAAGGTAAGAAGGCTAAGGTGAGTAAATTAATTGGCAAGACTCCGTTCAGTGTCGTAAGATATGGTGATACTTGAAGTTGCTCCGCTGAAAATTCGATGTAGAGAGATAAAAATGCCCCTGTGCCGGAAGATAGCCAGAGAGAAGCAGTATAAAGACGGGGTTGATATCTCGAGCTTCAAAGATGTAGGGAATAAAATGGGTGTTGGAGGAATTTGAGCGACCTTTTTGCAGAAAAAAGGTCAAAATTTGTGGTGAAGGCTTTCACGCAGAGCAGTATAAATACACAAAGTAGGCCTGGGAAGCCAGAGACGAAGAGTATAAAGGCCCAAAATTACGTAACTTTATCGATTTGAGCAATGAGCGACGGACGGAGGTTGTAAGAAAGATGAAGAAAGGAAGGGACCAGCGGTAGATGAAGGGGATTTTATAGAAAAGGCTGGAAAGTTTGGTCAGATTTGCCTCCAGCAAGAAAGCCTTATAGAATGGTGTAAAAATGAGAACGGCGCATCATCACTTCGCCGCCAGCAGGGACGAACCTAGGTTAATCATTGCGGAGTAATAAAGTTCCACGGCACCTGTTTTCTGGAGTCCGTTAGCTCTTACAACTCGTAGGAGCTGGTATAAACTAGGCTCGGAAAGGAAAGTAAAGAGAGAAGGCGCGACGGACAAAGTACCATCCCGTGCAAGGAGGGTAAACGAGAGCAGGACAGTTTGGAGAAGAAAGCGAGCAAGGGGTTGGCTTTCGTGGAGTCGTCCATCACGGAATGGCTGAAGACAGAGAGTCCAATATAATATTGACCATAATATAGACCAACATAGGATTCGGACAGTATAGGAATCATATATGCCACTGTATATATTCCATACGAAGCTTGGATCGTGACTTCCTCGGCTTTTGTTCATTATTCCACCGTGGTTTCCCTCGTTGTCCTTTAAGATTTCATGGACATCGCCGATGGGTTTTCTTTTTTTCATGTCTCGGTACATATACGTCTGTTGGACCAGTGGAAGAGGGCTCTTCTCCGTCCGCGCCATAACGCACCCTGGATCGTTTGGTTCGTTGCTGTGATGAGCGGTCGGGTCCAGACGCCCCAGAAGCTGAGCCAGAGCTACTTCTTTTCCTCTTCTTTTCTCGTTTCTCTGCTCTACGTCGTCGGTTTTCTTCTTTTGCTCTAAGTCGCGCCTCGACCTCCGCCGAGATATCTTCAGTTTCGACGAAACGGTTAGAAGTGCTTGCAGACGCGTTGTTCCCATCAACGGCCTCACCGTTTTCAGGTGAGCAAAACTTCTGCCGCTTCCTTGACGGCAAGGCAACAGTGGCTTCGCCATTATTTCCAGTTCCGCCTTCATAATCCGATGCGCGTTTATTCCTACCCCCTAAATGCTGAGGGAGGGGACACGGTATAGGTCGCTTGTCAAACACAAACGGAGGGACCGGCGTCCCAGCAGCCGCGCTTGATCCATCATGAGAATGACGAGTACTTCCATTCAGTGTAGCTGACTGTGAAGTTTGAGGGTCGTGGCACACGAATGCTGCATCTTTATTCAGAGTCCTCTGCTCCTCGACCCTATTCATAGATTTGCTCGAGAGGATCCTGGTTGCAGTACACTGCGGCATCTAATACGATTTCATATGTCAAAAAGTGCCGCCCTAACTCGAGGACTGGAACAGTGGCATTACAAATTCAATTCTGAGGTCGTCCAGCAGTCTGAGCAGCTCTTGCGTTCGATCCACCATTGACGACAGGACTGGGCTTTCTTGGACAACATGCTGCTTTACCATAAGACATATTTGGAGGTGTCGATTCAAATTTGACTCATGCTGCATAAATATCTGAAAAGTGGCGAGCAATAGTAACTTGTCAGTGAGAGCGCGTCATGTCCATTGGGGACAGTCAATGTCTGCAGGCAGTTGTAACTCTGTGCTTACCTCAGGCCATGATACAAAATGACCACTCGACCGGGGATTCTGTGGTTCAGGCATTTCGCTGTGGAAGGGCTATAATGCGAATCATTTACAATCGGTATTTTTTGTCAGCCATAACAGTGTTGCGGGCAGTTATTTGTGAGTTCAAGTCTGGTGGGATTCACGGTTGGATTTGAAGTGAGGTCCGCACTGACCAATCAGCTGTAAGCGCTGTTCGCTTTTAGGGAACCAGTTTAGCGCAACGCTCAGCCAACGAAGTTCCAGTGTTCGTTACACAAGCGAAGGGAAGGCATTGAAAAACTGAGCGAGCTTCTGGCTGGCTCGACTGCTTTGGTGCAAGAATTCGACATTATTTCTGTTGAATTTATTTCTTGAGACGTGCACTCTCCCAAATATCTGATCCTTCCTACCAGTGACAATAACCAACGGCTTGAAAGCACTTGTAAGATATATAGGTGTGGATATTGGTTTGCCGTATGTTTCCTGCGAATAGAAAACCTTTCTACTAGGCAAAAGGAGACATTTTCTCCTGGCATCAACAGGTAATGTAAGTGCGCATGTTCCCTCAACAGTAGTTCGAGCAAGTACAGCACAATCGTTACATATATATATATATACACATGACCTGTGCTTCTCAGGTAGTAGGTAGTTCATCGATGTAATTAACCCATCCACTACGTTCTCTGAACGACGTCAAGCATTTTATTTAAGTTTCATGTTTTCTGGATGACAAAAAGAGGATATTGCAGGGGCAGAAAATTATGCACCATGAAAAGGCTAAGTTTAAATAGATAAGCTTCAGGTGAGAATGTTAAACTAGCCGTTTGGGAAACATGAGATATGTCGTCATTTTTGCATATCATTAATCCAGTCACTACTTGATTCTTTGGGATGTGGGGTATAATGGTGCTTCCGTTGGTGAGCATGTACAGGGCAATGGACAGTTCATAAACAGATACCCAATGGAGGACACGCGAGAATAGCAAGGTGGGAGAGAAAAAACATGATAAAAGTCTCGGAGGGGAGAAGGGCCAGTGATACCAAGGATATTGGGGATAGATGACTATGGAGCCATGATCAAAGATAATAACGGAAACGAACAAGGCAATACAAGCAAGAAGGAATAGAAAAATGTGCCATTACAATGAGATGTAGTCGTACAACAACATATATACGACAATGATCATACAAACAATTAATAAGAAAATAGACGCGAAAAACCAGGGTCCCTACATATTTTCGACAACCTATACATGTCATAAAACCAAGCAAGTCATTCCGCATGACATATTCCAAATGCGAATGCAGGCACGTAATCAAGCGGCCAGTAAATAGAGAAATACGCTACTGCCCATATCCAACTCGCTCACCAGGCCCCTAGGTCGTGATCAAAGCGCGCTAACTCCTTCTCAGCATCCTCAACATCCTTCTTCGCCTTCATTCGCATGTAGAATATCGGACAATCTCTGCTTGAGCAGATAACCTCACAGTGCAAACTGCCCTGACATCGCTGGCACTGCGTCCACAAGCGCCCGAACCTCACCTCCAGATCAGACACTTTAGTTAGAGTTTTAGTGTATAGCTCACCGAGCCGCGGGAGACAATCCTGACAAACCGCGCCGTCAGAGCCCTCTTTCCCTGTAAGGGGCTTCTTGCAGCCCATACAGGTTTGTGTTTTCTTAGTGAATTTCATCAGACCACCCAATGTCGGGGCTGCGACTGAGATGGATCGAGTGTGTTCTCCAGTGAGCAACTGGCCAGCTTTCTTTTCGCCAAGGATGGGCTCGAAGATACGTGTGAGAGGTTTCGCGAGCTGATTGTCGAGGTAGTATTTCGTGTCTATTGGAATGTTGTTTTCGAGCACGTATATAGGGTCTTCCGATTTTTCATAATTCTTTGATCCTCCAGCACCTTTAACAATGACATATGCAACTCGGTCACCCAGAGTTGGGGCAGAGCCAGCGTCGCGCTTCTTCATTCTCTCTGCCAGCTCGACGTGCGCTTGTTTCGCTGTGTAATCCTTTTTCGAGAGGGCCTTCGTAATCACGAGTTTAGACATATCGATTTTGTTTTGGAGTAGATCAGATATCGTATCCTTCACATAACTATCGGGAAGAGATTAAAGGTTAATAAACCGCGCAAAGGGAATAAGAAAAAGAAAATAAAACGGGAGACTATACCTTTGGGCACCATCAACGTCCCGATCAATGAGTATTTTCCTGAGGACAGTTTCGATAACCGTCTGAACCATACGGCAGTTGTCTCTGCGGACTGTTTCAATTCCCTTGGTATCCATTTTATCATACTTGTCTGGCTTGGTCCAATAGAGACCAGCATAGCGTTTCTTATTGATAAGGAGGTATGGGAAATACACTTTCTCGAATTCCAATTTTATAGGATTGATGAACTTGGATGAAACATAATCAGCTGCTTCCTGGCCAAGTTTCATCGCCTCTGCAAGGTCTTTCATTCCAAACTTAACCATTACGGAGTCCGTATCACCGTACACAACTTTAGCATCATGAGAATACCCGTTGGCGATGGTATATTTAGCCTCTACTTCTTCTTTAGTCTTCTCAATCATTTGGCGGCCGTAACTAGTCGTGCTACTGGCAATTGGCAAACATGGCAGTTTACCAACAGTTGCGCCAGTCAGTCCGTAAACGCTGTTGGCGCTGATTTTAAGAGCAAGTTGTCGTCCGTTCAATACAGCCTTTTTGAACGGATCCGTTTCCACTGCAAGCTCCTTCTTCGCACGCTTTCTCGCTCCAAGAAGTTCTTCCAGGATCTGAGTCAGGAGTCCTTTGCGGACTTTCGACGTGCAGAATCTATCCCCGTTTGGTGTCACGATATAGTCTTCTCCTTCTTTCATCTGGTGTGCGTCGATGGTTGACTTTTTTAAAAGAGTGGTGTAACAGAGGTTATGTGCTTGAATAATACTGGGGTATAGAGACGCGAAATCAAGGGTAGCTATCGGAACGTCGTAGAAATCTCTAATAGGCTCAATGACTGTTGCTCCTTCGTACTGTTCGCTAGTTGATTCGTTCCGTAGGTTGGGAATAACCAGTTGTTGTTCGAGAGCCTTGCGGAATAGTTGACTGATAAACTTGACTTGTTGTCCACGGGAAAGGAGAAAGTTGAAAGGCACGCCAGTAACTCTCGCCATTTCAGTATAATTGACAAGGCACATGAGTTTATCCATAAGTCGTTGGGGCAAGTATGCATCCTTCAAGCAGTAAACTGCCAACCGTCGCCTCGAATCCGGGGTTCCATTGAAAAGTTCTGTTATCATTGTATGATGAACATCCTCTTTTTGTTCTCCTAAAAATTGCGCACATACCGAATTTAGGGTGTAGCTTCGCAGCTGATAATCCCGCTGAACAAGTTGAAGGAGGTCAAGCTGAATTCTACCGCTAATGTTAGTAGACTTAGATTCCCGATTTCCTATTTGCTTGCTTGAAAATCTTGCGTCCCCTACCCGAGAAGGGATATGTTTTAGTCTGGACCAGAAGTGAAATCCTGAACATTTGAGATGTTCTGCGCGCTTAAGGAGGTAGGGGAAATCGAAGTTAGCAATATTGTATCCGATGATAACATCTGGATCAACTTCCACCAGGAAGTTCTTCCAAGCCATCAGCATTTTTTCTTCAGTGTCGAATTCCAAAAGTTGGGTGTTGACAATCAAGCTACATGTGCCCAAAACAAACACATTTCGGATAAAAGGTTTTGATTCCCCATAACGTGTAACGACATTGGCGATTTGAATTACCGGGTCTTGATTGGCCTCGGGAAACACACCCTTGCGACCAGCACACTCAATATCGAAGGAAAGGATTCGGAGTGGTGCCATTTTTGCCCACTCGCCATCGTTGGGATGGGCAATGAGGTCACGGTAATGAATTGTAGCTTCTATTTGGCAATTTGACATCCGCTCGACCATCGGGAGGATTTGGTATTTGGAAGCCGGCGCTTCTACCCATGACATGCCCGACATCTTCAAAACTAATTAGCCAGAGCAAACTCGGACACAAAGAAAATTGGAGAAAGTGAGGTCAGCAAAGGAATTCTTACTCCTGTATCAATCATAAACCGTAAAATATATTCAATATTATCAAAGGTCAATATCCCATCAGCATCGGCTCTCCACATTCCTCGATAATTCGCCCTGCCTGTTTCAATCAGCGTTCGCAATTTGTTGATATGTCGCGGGTCCGTCACTGTGATCTTCAAATAGGGGCTTTTCTGGTTGCCCTGAAAGCCGAATAGGTTTTCTCGCATTACCATTTGTACTGAATGTATAGCTGGGTGATGGATCTCAATTTCGTGCTCGAGATATGCCTTGAATCCTTCACAGTCCGTTGGAGCAAACGAGACTGGAGCAGCCACATAGAGATAGTGTAGGAAATGCGTAACATGTAAGAGAACCGAATGGCCAGCCTAGTTAGATAAAAGTAGGATCCCGTTAGAATGAAAAGAAAATTCATAAAGCCTTAAAATGAATTTTACCTCAGTAACCCCGAAAAGCTTAACCGCAGGTTGCTTTCCGCCCCCTATAGTACCTTCCTCCGCTTCAATTTGCTGGAAGCAAAGATTGTCTCGCGATGCGTCAAAGTTATCCAAACTTGGCCGAGCCCACTGCTGGTCTTTCTCCGAGTTGTTTTCCTTCAGTCCTGAAATGTCCTGCGTCAGCTTCTCCAAGACTTCCTCCTCGAACTGGCTTTTCTGCTGCGATTGACGAGGGCCTGAGGAAATGAGTTTCCTGTTGCCGGTCTGCGAGGACGGCTTAATTCCGATAGTGGGCTGTTCAGCTTCGAGCTTCCGCTTCTTTGCGGTACTGGGTGACTTCGGCATTACATTGTGACGGTTGATGGTAGCATCGCCGAGAACTCGTTTTTGAGGAGGCTTTAGCATAGTTGAGCTCATTGTGGATGTCGTAGTGGATTCGTAATTATTTCCTGAAGCATATCCGGAAACGAGATCGTTCACAGACACACGGTTTTGCTTGGGATTGACTGAGGTGGTTGAATCTCCCACTTCGCGTGCGGGAAGCTGCATGCCGGGGATTAACACGCCTAATTGCCAATTAAGGACGCGTGAGTTTAAATCACGTGATAAATATCGCAGAGACGCGTTGTCTTTGGAAAAAAGGAACGAAAATCGTGTCTTGTCCTATATTCAAAATGTGAATTAAAAATTTAACATTCATGTCGAGATGTACACCCTTCTATGAATTATTCTACTTTATTTAACCCTGCAACCCCTGTTTCTGGTAAATCATTTCATGGACACAAGTGTCGAGTCTGGTGTCCCCTAATCGTGCAAAACAAAAAACGAAGACAGACTAGGGATCCGTATATATAGAGCGGACAACTATTGAAAAGACATTGAAGCTAAAGGCTATGGGTGATCTTGGGATTATTGATAAAAGTAGCAAAATGGCCCGTCGATTGTGCTCATAACCTCTCGTACAGGCACTGGCGGTGCAAGTGGTCCCACATCGATGATGTCGTCCAAAGTTCCATTCCTGGTAGGGGGTATATTGGCGAGTGTAAGTGTTCCATAGATTGCATCCCCTCGTTTCTCGATATCTAACCATTGCCAGATCGACCAGAGGCGGTCAATTTGGCCGTGATGCAGGAAAAACGCTGGTTCTTGAGGGCTAGAATAAAAGTCTGAGTCTGGAGGATAACGATGTTAGTTTCTCCAGAGCATCGGAAAATATGGGGTGGGAGAGTACTACACATACGTTGTCCAGTCATCCCACCCAAAAACGTATGCCCGCCGCCATGCACCCCGAAGAAGTTCAGCGGAAAATCTTTCCGGTCTTCATTGCCTGGCGCCCCGGCAAGACGAGATTGAAACTCATCAATGTCCCTGCTCTCCTCGATAGTCCACGTCGACCAGTTGAAAGAGGTGTAGTGCTGGCCTATGAATGGGTTCATGTCGCGCATCAGACATCTGGGATTGTAGCGCAATGGATTGTTTAGGTTCCCCCCTGGCATTCCAACTGGGCCTAAATTGGTGGTCATGTCTGAAAAGGGACCGAACATGACGCATCCTCCCCCAGTTCCAGCTGGAAACTCGCGACCCTCTGCTTTTGGAAATGGTGGCGGAGGCGGTAGGCGGTACGTTGGGTCTCGTTCTGCCAATGGAGCACCATTACTCCCAAAACTATAAGGCGAGCCATCAAAGAGAGCAGATTTTTGCGGATCATAGACATCGTATCCCCACTCCCAATAACTTTTGAAAGGTTAAAACATGGGTACATACATCCCCAATAGGCCACAAGTTAGGTGAGATTGAGGCGTTCTTACGGGCTAATCCCATGATATCCACATTCCTCCCTAAGAGCCTTCTCATATGCCCAGACGAAGTATCGATGCCAGGCGAGGAAGTTGAACTAGAAACTATAAGCACTTGGATACTATGAGATGGTGCATATACACCAAAAACCTACATTTCCGTGGATGAATGGGGTTTTGGTAATATGAACGACAGCGAAAGAGTCAAAAAGATTTTTGGAGCCTGGTGCTTCTTCCTCCGTAAACAATGATGGCTTGGATTGAAGACAATACACAGCTTCAATGTATTTCCTCCTTTCTGCTTTGGATAAGAACCGCCTAGGCAAAGAAACATTTGGTTATTCAAATCAGTGTGTAAGTTGTTTAGAAGGGATTGTATTAACTCACCATTCCTTCCGAATAGTTAATGTACTCTGTGTACATAGGCGATGATTCTTTTTCCCACGGTCATCATTTCGATAGTCGTCACAGTCGTGGCCGTTGTTACAAGCTCTTGCCTTCTCATCCTGGCGAGTATCTCGACGTCCTCTCAGTGCTTCGTAAAGTTGATGGCTTGCGTTTGTTTGCAGCTGAAGCAGGCATTCCCCGGTGTCAATGAGATCTTGCCTGCTTTTGCCCCATTCGTCGGACCCTCCCAAGCTCCCAATTATCAGAATACTCCAAAATGAGATGAGAGATGCCAGAAAATGTTGCCTCATGATTGGTGACTGAAAAGTTGAAATTCTATGGGTAAACAGACTGAATGGGCATAACGCTTAGCACAAAATAGAAAATGCTCATGGGATACTCGAATGAGAAAGAAAAATCACATACAATGAAGGGAAACGAATGATCCGGCAGGGACGGAAAACTAGAGAGTGACGTAAATAGAAACATAAATATCAAGGACGTTGGGCTACTTTTACTCTCAGCAATCCTCAATGAGTGGCCCGAAATGCGTACCGATTAGGCTTATTTAACAGAACCTAGCGTAGCAATTCGTCAGACACAGCTCTGACCCCAATTTCCCAACACCTTGAGCAGATTGTTGTGAGAGGGCAGTGAATTGATGAATGAAGAAAGACATTGAGACAGAGGCCTGAGCGTTCCTCTTGAGAATGGCGTTGTGACACTAATGGTAAAGAGAACGCCCGATGTTGATTCGATCATGACCGGAAAAATGAGTGACCAATTCTGTAACGTCTCACGGGACAATAGCTGTAGGCTAGATGCAGCTTTAGTAAGTGAAAATGATTTCACGATGGCAAAATCTGTAGGATATCAATCTAGAGGGGAGCAATTGTCAATGAGATCAGTGCCCATGATGCAAGACTGTTCCAGATAGTCTTGGTCCAGTGAGCAGGACTGAGTTTCGCGTCAGCATGCAGGTGATTTGATACTGTATTAATGCAATAATGCAAGACATGAAGAGGTTAGCAGAAGAAATGCCATGAAACTTTTTTTTTCACAATCTGTGGAGTAGGTAGAGCGGGTCGCAAAACTTACCAATCATGGAAAAAGGAAACATACGTAATAAAACGCTGGTAAGTGCCATTATTTGGTAGGTAGAACTAACAAGAAAATGGGCGTCTATCAAGCCCTTGCTCAAGAACGAAGGTGAGCAGAGCCATGTATTGGCTGCAAAGAATTTAAACGGGGCTCGTGGTATAATAATGACTAGCAAAGCTTGTCAAAACTTCAACCCTGCTCCTTTGCAGGTAAAAAAACTTACTTGCCAGGGCGGGATGTGGGAGCACAAAAAGCCCAAAATTTGGTGCAACTCGATTTGCATGATAGAGTGGAACACCACGAAATGTCGGCAATGCGGAATGTCTCAAAATTAAATACAATCGAGTGACAAAGCATACAAGTAACACCTTGTCGTATATTATAGGATGCCCCCTGAAGCTCTTCTATGAAACTTCATGGTGGAAGGCAATATGGCCGGTAGAACCCTCTGTTGATAAATTGGTACCAATCCTCGAATAGACGAGAGCGGATATGTCAAAATGTTAGGTATCTATCTGTCCCAAAATTCTGGAATCCAAAGCCATACCTAACACCGGCCTTGTCAGAAGTTCACCTTATTTATTCAGTAGGGTATCACAGCAGGTCAAGTGAGACAAAATAAGGGCATGAAAGTTCTGCATGTCCAACAGGTGTTCATGGACATATGAAAATCCTAACGATCATTTAAGTTTTCAAAGTTGACGGATGCTTCCAAGCATTTTGATCTTGAAGACATGAACAGCTTGGAAATCGCAAATTGTGAGGCATACAGTTCATTGGGAACTAAACAAAGCCAAGCATCCGATCCAACACATCAACGTGCTGCATTGTTCTGAGATACTTTATCATTCCATCCAGGTTCAGGTTGAACAGTCATATGCTGCACGTAAATCGCAAGCCCCAATACTCGCATAAACCATATGCGGAACCAATTGCCATTTTCCAGTTCTCTTGACTGACTGAAGAAATTCCCTGCAATGAAGTTTGTCACTTGCCATGCATGTCTGAGACTAGGCAAATCCGGGGGAATAGAACCTCCCGAGGACTGGAGTGGTTGGAACGTTCTGTGCATGCATGAGGTTTTTTGATCGAACCATTAAATGGCAAGGCTTGTGCAATTGAAGCTTTAGGGGGGGTGTTCCAAACGCGCTCACTTAGTTAGATAGGTAAGATATAGTACCCGAATTCGATGATGGCTGTCTCAGAGAATCAATGGTAGATACCTTTCCGATCCATGAACAGCCTCCGCATCTAGGATACGGCTATCCTTCATTATATGGTAATCATGGCTGGCTTCAAGGTTGTCTTAATTACAAAACTTTGTGGTCAATCCCTTGGAATTCGTTCGCTGACAAATGAAGCATCGTTCCTGTCTCGGGATCGAAGTAACATTGGAAGTTAATCGAATAAACGAATCGAACGGAAGTTGCCTAAATAGAACATGCATATGCATTCCCGCAGACCTTCAATACCGAAAGGAGTGAGTCGATAAATTTCCTGATTGAGCAAATCGGCTGCGATTTCATCATTGTGATAATCAGCCAATCATACGTGTTTATGCGTCCTTGGTATTTTGAGGGATTCCACCAGCTAGTTAATTATTGTATGTATTACGTAACAAAACACTGGCGGCTTGGCAATTTCTTCTCTGGACGACATCGGCGGAAATTTCCATGTCCACTGAGAAAGTCATATCCGCGCATAGATTGTTCAGAGAGCTTTTATGCGTCTTCTTAGGATGTTTAAAGTTTTTTTTTCCTTCCGGTATTTAGCTATACATGGTGTCCAGGATCTAGGCGAGCGGTGCTGCTAAGCCATCCTGGCCAATGATTTGCTCTAGAGGATTTGATTACGCTTTAAATGTTATGTCCATGACTTTGTTTACTACGACCATTCATGCGTATGATCTGATACGTACGCAGAAGTGTGAAAAGTAATTACACCTTTCTTATTCTCGATGCCGCCGAGAAGGAGCCATCGAAAGTCCCGCTTGGGTTGTCTTCAATGCAAGAGAAGAAAGATAAAGGTATGAAGATGTATCGATTATCAAGCTTCCACTAGGCCATTCGTTTTCACCATAGTCCAGTTGTATCAAGATAAAAAGAGTAAATATCAATATCACAACGGCTTAGGCCTCGTCGTCCTGTTCTATCAACAACTCCATCTGCAACATTCTAACTCTACATTGTGACAGTGTGACGAGACGCCGCCGCCATGCGGCAACTGCAAAAAGCACAATATTGAGTGCCAATTCGCAACCCCTCCTGGGGTCGTACCTGCGATTAATAGCACGTGCCGTTGGCCATCAACGATCATCAATAGACCCCCTCCCGTGCTGCCGCCTGTTTCTCTCCCTTCAATTTCAAGGCCCATTTCCTCATCAACTGTTGACCAGCTGGAAATCTTTACCACATTTGACAGCACGAATCCTCAGTTCACATCTAATTTACATCTTGATGATTTGAAGCTTATGCACCATTACACCACGGTGACCTGTACGACACTTTCAAACACCCCGGAACATATCGATATCTGGAGAACCGTTATCCCCAAAGAAGCACTTGCTCACCCCTTTCTAATGCACGGGCTTTTATCTCTATCAGCACTTCACCTCATAGAGAGCAGCAGCAATGATGACCCGAATCGCCGGAAATATGTCGAATTAGCCACCATGCATCAGCACCTTGCCCTTGCGGCGTTTCGACCAGTGTTGAATGATATCACTCCATCAAACTGCAACGCGGTATTCGCGTTCTCGAGTCTCATCGCTGCGCTAGCCTTTGCTTTCTCCAGATTTGTCGGCAGACCCGGTGGGGGCGAGCCTGTTGCCGAACTTCTTCAAGATTTCCTTCTATTTCGCGGTGTGGAGAGCGTCCTAAGTACGTCCTGGGAGCTCATACAGAAGGGGGAGCTAGGGCCAATGATCCGGCGCCCTGCTATTAATGTATCTCAACCGATTTCTAAGGATGTCATAAATGCACTTGATTATCTTCACGATTGCAATGGCGACCATGTAACCCAGCTGAGCGCGGAGGAAAAAGATGCGAATAATCATGCGATTCGCGAGCTTCGTATCTCATTTGAACGACCTGCATCAAGTTGGGAGAATGTTTTTCGGTGGCCGATTCTTCTTCCGGAAGCGTACCTCGCTCATCTGAAAGCACGAAAACCCATGGCGTTGGTGATTCTTGCGCACTACTGTGTCGTTCTTTCCAGACTGGATTCGTGCTGGTGGTCACAAGGTTGGGCGACTCATTTGTTCGAAGCAATTTATCGCTCTCTGGGCACGAGTTGGAGACCGCTACTGCGATGGCCGATGCAGATGGTTGGGTTGGCTGACAAACTGTCGAAAATCCCATGAGCTACAGATGATATCTTGGTTGTATCTAGGCCATGCGCCAAATTTATGCTTCATACGCTTCCTGTGTATATGATGTACTGTACGATATTTTCCAATGGTTTCAGAGAACTATGGCGCAAATATTGTTGTGACGGAGTCGATTGTAACTAGACTTTGACCTCTCCCTGGAGGCCTTGTGCGGAGAATTAAATTTTACTCCCTAGAATATATATATTCATCTCTGCTTGTTTTTAGTGAATCAGTATCGCCTTGCAGATTTTCTGCCTAGCTTTCACAATAATTTGTAGCTTAGATTTTTTTGCATCTAGCATACAGGTCACAACTCTTCTGATGCTTATTGGTTGTGTAGCCACTTAACTTATCCTAAGCGAGTTAGGCGTCACGAACAAAGGACTACATTACCGACCTATTACGGCTGTACTGTAACTGGATACTTTCAGGCTCTGGGGCTCACACGGTGGGGCCTTCACAACAACCAGTGATCTAATTTGACATCGACAAGGAGATAATCGATACGCCACGATTCAATATGCCGATTGCTGAGACGATTTCTCTCTTTCCCTAGTTATGTAAATTCTAACAGCTACTTGTGTAGTAGCTTAGGCAGAGGCAAGCTTCCGACGCCCTTTGAGTTACATTGTATGGAATCTAATCGAAACTCCAGGCTCAAGTACTAGTATCACCATATTGATTGAAGCATTCTACACCTTCATTGTGACTATTCGAGAATCTCTATGGTACCACTTTCAATTGCTTAGATTCACTTGGAAAACGCTCTCTCTTCACTTCACTGCTCACTATTTCCTGTGTTCTCCAATTGCAACATGCCTCTCAAAACATGGCATTGTTCTTCTAATCGCGTTTAAAGTCTCCATATGCTCCAGAAGGCTGCTTTTATTTACAGATGGCACATTCATTTGTTAGGAGGTGTCCATCTATACGCTCCTTTTTGAAATGATTATATACCCTCTTGCTCGTGTTTTCTTCCGTTTGTCACTCTTTAGCTTTTTTCCGTCGTGCCAGTCTCATCGAGCCTGGGGAAGTACATGTACATGTACAAAGTTGCGCAACGACAAAGCCGCATAATGTCTTCCATGTTCCGTTCTCCAAAAGACATCTCGTCTTCAGATTCCGAACCTCTGCCACAGTTCGACCCTAGTGATACCACTGGATGGGAGCCAGGACACCGAAAAAAGGTTCCGACAGACGCAAGCACCGATACTGTGCAAAATTCCCCCCCTCACGAATATGAAACTTCCCATTATGAGCAAATTGAAACTAGCGGTCGTCTTGATCAGGGGGATATACCTGATCTCAATGCAGAAGGGCAGGCCGCCATGATGACAGCCGCCCTCCTGGAATTCTACTGCCAAAGTCGCGCTGCTGATATCCTCAACGGGCAACCTGAATCCCATGGACAATATACTCGAGATTCTCCTGAGGCTAAATTCCTGGGACGGCATATGTACGCCTACAAGTCCCAGTTCTTGTCTCATCACGGCGTTATTGCAGGAGGAGTCGACGGAGAGGATTGGGAAAGCACGAGGCAGTTTTATAGAGATAATCTCGATGTGCTTGGCGTGGCTGCTCTAGGGGATGCGGACTTAAACTCCCGGTCTCCTCATCCACTATCTAGGGGAGTCATCGGACAGGCTGCGGGAACGATAGACGTTGGGCAACTTCAAACACGATTAGAAGACCTCGATCTTGAAAACATAAAGAACTTCACGCCACAACGCACTTCCCGCCCTAATCTTCAGAGACGCATCACTGATAAGGCCCATGCTGAAGCTACCAACGAGCCAATGCCGCTGAATATCGCAGATCTCGTACGGCATACACGTACTCCGTTTCCACACTTTCCCATCAATTTGCCTGCTTTATATGCACCAACCATGAACTTTCCTGGCTCTCGATATAGGATTGAGTTTGAAGAGGAAGCCATGATTGGGAGAGGTTCATATGGTGCTGTGTACCGTGTGAGACATCATGTCGATGGTCAAGTTTATGCAGTGAAAAAAATACCCCTGGGCGAGAAACGACTAAGACAGGTGCAAGAATGTGGTTTGCGGGCCCTAGATAATATCTTGAAGGAGGTTAGAACCCTTGCCCGGTTAGAGCATCCCAACGTTGTACGTTATTATGGTGCATGGGCTGAATACCCCAGTGGCCCAATTCTAAAGTCACCTTCCACTGGTTTTCCGGTTCATCATCGCGAGATGGACGATAATCAACAACCCCTTTTGAGCCCCGTATTGTCGTCACAACAGAACGATGATTTAAACTTTAGTATCGTTTTTGAGGATTCTAGCCATGGAATCGTCTTTGAAAACTCCTCTAAAGATGGTGAAAGCGCTATTGAAGAAACAGGGCCCTCGTCCGACTCTCCCAGCTCACGACATAGTAAACGGAAATGTTTCCAGAAATCGAGTTGTAAGAGCGATATTGGAGACGACGAAGTCCAGTCTCTTCCACGGCATTTCGACTTCCCAACCCCTGGCCAAACGACAACGGAGAGCGAGACAAATGATGATGTTTTTACTGACGGGATGGGGCATACTGGCTCCAGGTGCCATGTTAGCCAGAAAGTTGGCCTTGTGAAACCTAATCCTGTTTTGATGCTACACATTCAAATGTCGCTCCACCCGGTGAGCTTGGCAAAGTACCTAATCGCGAAGCCCGTTTCGTTAGATCCGAAAGCTCCCCATCATTGTTTCCATCTCGTTCCCTCTCTCAAAATCATTCTAGGAGTCTTGGCAGGAGTTGAGTATCTGCATACTACTGGCATAGTCCATCGTGACCTGAAGCCTGCAAATATTTTCCTCTCTCCGGCTGGCGTGCAGGACAACCCAGTTTGCCCAACATGCGAGAAAGCCGGGATTGAAAGGACATGGTACACGACACCTCGCATCGGCGATTTCGGCCTCGTTGCGGAAATATCCCGATTTGGAGACGAAAATGAAGTGCTATTCGATTCCGTGTATAATTCTACCGGTACCCCTATTCGCCCTGTTGGTACGGAATTCTATCGACCCCCCATCGTCACATCGCCTTGCCCCTCCTCACGGCATCCCATACACCACGAAATTGATGACCACGGCGACGGCCACAGTGGCAATGAAGTACGCAATCGTAAGATACAAAAGATCCTCAACATCGACGAAAGCCTAGACGTTTTTGCGTTAGGCGTCATCTTGTTTGAACTGCTGTACAAATTTGAGACCCGAATGGGGCGTCAAATGGCACTTTGTGATCTGACCTGTTCACCCAACAAGCGGATGAAGCATTATCAGCACGAATACCATCACCAACGCAGGCCTTCTGGTCTCGTCCCAACTTTGCCATCTGATTTCGCAGCCAAGGTCGACTGCTCAGGGATATTCAAGGGCGAGAACGAGAAGGACACTGCTGATATCCTGAGAAAGTTGACAGAGTGTATACAAGGGATGCTGGATCCGGATCCTCGTTTTAGATGGTCATGTAAAGATGTGCAGCGATGTTTGAATGACATAGTCTCCAGGTTTGAAAATCCAAGTTGGAATAATGGTGTTGGATTAAATTAGGAGGAGAACTATTTTCACTGGCCCGCTCCGTCCCAAAGCCTCAATCTCCCCATAAATCTCCCCTC